CCCGGGGGTGACAGGCTGGACATAGCAAGGTAAGAGCGGACTTTCTTGTTAATCGGGAAGCCAGGTGGCGACTCTTTACACGCTGCCCGGCTTCCCGGCTAATCAGGAAGCCAGGTTGCATGAAATGACTCGCCACCTGGCTTCCTGAATGGGACTTCCGTTACTCGGTAATTGGTATCGGCGAGTACCGAAAAAAAATTATCGGTACTCGTACTCGGTACCAAAATACCGGTATCGGTGCATCCCTAGTTGTAACCCTTCCTCACCAGGTCCAAACTAAGTAAAAAAGGTTCAGCCAGTGCTCATCTGTCAGGCCCAGCCATACAGAATAATGGTCAGCCAGAGCACAGGTGTAAGTTCCAGCCATAGAGAATAATGGTCAGCAAGGCACATGTGCAAGGCCCAGCCATACAGAATAATGGTCAGCCAGGGCACTTGTGTAAGGCCCAGCCATACAGAATGATGGTCAGCCAGGGCACATGTTTAAGGCCCAGCCATACAGAATAATGGTCAGCCAGGGCCCATGTGTAAGGCCCAGTCATAGAGAATAATAGTCAGCCAGGGCACATGTGTAAGGCCCAGTCATAGAGAATAATGGTCAGCCAGGGCACATGTGTCAGGCCCAGCTATACAGAATAATGGTCAGCCAGGGCACATGTGTCAGGCCCAGCTATACAGAATAATGGTCAGCCAGGGCACATGTGTCAGGCCCAGCTATACAGAATAATGGTCAGCCAGGGCACATGTGTAAGGCCCAGCCATACAGAATAATGGTCAGCCAGGGCACATGTGTAAGGTCCAGCCATAAAAAATAATGGTCAGCTGGGGCATATGTGTCAGGCCCAGGCATAAAGAATAATGGTCAGCTGGGGCATATGTGTCAGGCCCAGCCATAAAGAATAATGGTCAGCTGGGGCATATGTGCCAGGCCCAGGCATAAAGAATAATGGTCAGCCGAGGCATTTGTGTGAGGCCTAGCCATAGAGAAGAATGGTCAGCTGGGCCATATGCGTCAGACACAAACACAGAAAATATTGGTCAGCCGGGGCACAGCCAGTCATGCATGTCATCCGAAATACAGAATAACATAGACACCGCACTTCAAATGATGAATCAATAGCGAATTCAATTTGTGAATTCTATGTCGGTATACTTGCTCTCTAGCTAGGTCATTGTGTTTAAATTACAGTGTGCGTGCATCTCCACAATACTTGTTGCTCAGCCTCTGGATCTTGGCATTCAGTTGTGCTGTCATCTGATACCTATAACGCACCACCCGATTGCTGCGTCCTGCACTTTATCTGACCTGACTGCTGCATTAAGTTTCCTATTGGAAAGGAGTAGCATCGCACCCTTCAGCTACTTATGCAGTCATCCAAACAGTACTGACAGCCTTCCTCCCAATACTTCTCCAATGTTGTGTCTCCTATGCTTAATGCTACAGCTGCTTGTCTCTGCCATGCTTCAGATAGCTGTGTAACAACACTAAAGGGGAGGACCAAACTCATATTGAAGGTGAAGGATTGCTGGAAACAAGCCTCAGGGTCATCATACATGTTACAGTTTTGCACTACATAGTTCTGCCTGGAGTTTACATGTTCTCCCTGTGCTGTGTGGGTTTCCTCCAGGTTCTCCTGTGTCCTCCCACACTCCAAAGACAAGCTGGTAGGTTAAATGGCTCCTATCTACAGTGGCCCTAGTATGTGTGTGCATGTGATATAGCAGACTTACTCTGTAAGTTTCTTGAGGACGGCGACTGATGTGAATAAATAGCATGTTCAGTGTTGCATAAATTATCAGCACTATATAAATACCTGTAATGAATAAATACATTCATTGTGTGTATAATTCTATTTCAGGGGTGTCAAACTAAATGTAATCACGGGCCTCATCAGCATTATGGTTGCCCTAAAAGTGTCAGATGTAAGACTATATAAATGTAAAGGTTCTATGGTGGGCTGTATGGACTCTGAGGTGGCTGTGCGGGGTCTTAGTAGGGCTATGTGGTCTCACCAGGGGTCCCGGTCATTTTCGGTGGGTGCGGACGGAAATTTTTGCCCAGGGCTGTAAACAGGAGCCACGATTCACAGGAAGGCTGCTGGGACCTTGCTGTGGACCTCAGCAGGCTTCCTATGAAGCCCGGCGCCTGGTTACAGCGCCGGCTTCGGTTTAAAAGTTTAAAGCTGCAGGAGAGGTGCGAGGGCCTCATGAAATGGCCTGGCAGGCCAGATTCAGACCGCGGGCCTTGTGTTTGACACATGTGCTCTATGTCAATAAAGTGCTTACCAGTGAGTCTGGGGAAGTTGCAGTGTTGCTTTCCTGATGACTATGAGTAACCTCATCAATTTCCAACTCTGCTTTCCTTGAATTGCTGTAAAAAAGAAGAAACATATCTAATGAAATCCATTCATATATACCTGGCACAGCAGCAGTATTGTCATAAACATCACAATATGATCTAATAAATACCAGAAAGTGTGCTGTAGCATTATTTTTTACACATATGAACATTTCTGTGCAACTATTGATTACCTCCCTCTTTTAATATCTAACACAAAGGTCAGCCCGGCTCCTCACATTTAAGCTAGCCATACACTAGTAAATTTATATACAAATATTAATATGAAAAGCCTTGTCAGAACATTCGATAATGCCATCAGAGACTTGACGAGCATTGTTTGAAATTTTGTTTGGTTTAACATTCAATTTTGGAATGAATGGAGTTTCCCGAACGAAAATCATATTCACTGTTAGAATTTCATTAATTCAAGACAAATTTTCCATCCTGCTCCTTCAATTTTTTTCATCACTTTGGCTGAAAAACATTGTTAATTTGACCCCATTAACTATTAGAAAATCGAGTGAACGATGCGAAATATATATATATTTTTTACAATAGCCTACTATATCCTGTTATATAATACTACTATATACTGAGTTTTGGGTTCACCGGAGGACATTAGTATATGTCCTCCTGTGACCCTGAAGAGAACTATGGTCAAAATAGGTTGCCCATAGTTCTCTTTTAACTCAGCTTCACACAAAACAAATAGGGGTTCATTTATAAATGTTATGCCCACTGTATTGCCAAGCAGATGTCTTTCATACACCACTAGATGGCGCTGACAGGTGTAGGATATTCCTATACACGTCAGTGCCATCTGCGGGCACTAGTGTATGTGAACGATATCTGTGTGAAACTTTTATAAACGAGCCCCATAATGTGGCAACATTAAACGAGCACGCACGCACAGGCCTCGTTCACACCAAGTGTGTTGAGCTACGTTGAAGTACACAAGCTCAACCCAAGGACACTTAAAACACAAATGTGCTCTATGTGCCCTGTTCACACCATACATGTACATTTGTGTGGGCAGAGGAAAAATCACAGGCAGCATTTTGACACAGTGACACAAATATGCAAATCAACGCAACGCTCCTATCAAAATACTAAGAAAAAAAAAAATTAGGATTCTGACCTTTGATTTGACCTGTACAGAAAAAAATGCATTTGTAAAACAGTATAACACAGTGCAACGTGGTGAAAACTGTCAACGTTTTGTCAACGTGCATCAACACATGTATTTTCTCTGTGTTGTTATGTGTGTTAAGTTGAGAACAAGCCCAAAGGTCTTCCACAGAGGACCAAGGAGGACAATATAGTAGGTTTATTGTAATGATGTTTCAGCAATACTGTGGGGTCATTCACCCTGCGAATCTCTGTGTATGTTCACTCTGTGCGCATGGAATCAAAGTGAATGTTCTTAGTATATTTTCTTCTTCAGATCGAAGGTAATATTGAGAAGTACCGCACTATGGCCACTAGATGGTGCCGAGGAACATAAGAAATAATACTTTCCTAAGCTCCTCAGCTCCATCTAGTGGCCTTCATGTGGTATTTTACAAAATGTTACATTCAACCTGAAAAGTATACTATGAACATTCGTTTCTGCCTACATTCACATAGAACGAACATTCATAGAGATTCACCAGGTAAATGGCTCTACAAATGTTTTATAAATACATATGTATGTATTATGTGTGTATATATATATATATATATATATATATAAATATTAGGGATGCACCGATATATCGGCCGCCAAAACATATCGGCCGAAAATGGCACTTTTGGCATTACGCCGAAAGTGCCATTACCTGGCTGATAGAGCGGCGCATCCTATTCTCTCCTCCCCGCTGGGTGCTGCTCTGTGTCCCAGCGGGGAGTAGAGAGAAACTGTGGCAGGCTACTGAGCGATGTGAGCAGCCAGCGTCTCTCCTCCCACACCGTTCAGCCTCCTGTCACAGATCGGCAGAGCGGTGTGTGGGTGGAGACAGCTCTGCTCGCTCAGCCTCCTGTGACAGCTGTCAGGAAGGAGAGCGGTACAAACACTCAGAGATCAGTGATCGCTGAGTGTTTGTACATAATTGAGAACATGTTTACTATAGCCTCAATTATGAATGAATGAGAAGTGATCTACATCACCTCCTGTTCATTCTTGATTGTGGTTATAGTAAACATACTCTGTTCTCATGTTATATATGAACAGGAACACTCAGTATAGAGGATTCCTGTTCATTTATAACTGGGGACACAGAAAAAGAGATTGGGGACTCTGTGTATCTGAGGGCTCTGTGTCATCAATCTCTTTTTCTATTTTAAAAGGGAAATATCAGGGGTCTGTTTAGACCCCTAATATTTCCCCAAAGCCCCAAAAAGTAAAGTAAAAAAATAAAATATTGAATAAAAAAAATGAATAAATATTAACAAATGTAAACGTTTATAAAAAATAAATAACAATAAAATATTTAAAACATTTGAAAAAGTTAAAATAAAAAAATGTTTTGGTTTCGGCCTGACATTTTTTTTACATTTCGGTTTCGTTTCGATTTTGACATTTTCATTTCGGTTCATTTCCAATAAATATATATATTGGATACTGGATACTGTATATCAGAAAAAAAGTAAAGAAAGTTAATAAATACATCAGAAACAAATCTTACCCGTGAGCTGTGTGGTTGCTTGAAATATTGACGCTGCTAGCAGCATCTTTGGCCTTCTTGGCTTTTTCGACGTGTTTTTTATGATTGGCCACCATTCCTTTGTCAAACATTAGATGCAGTCGGAAACTGACAAACTTAATCACTGTAAACAGCACAGTTGTAGATATGCAGTAAAGGCATAGCGTGAGTCTTGTTGCAGGCAAGCCCTGTGAGAAATACAAAAAGTAAACATACTGCAGAGTAAAGCAATGTCACAGAAGCAATGGAATCAGGCCAGGCCAGCCCACAAATCAAAACAAAATTACATTGCATTGGGGTCATTTATCAAAACTGGAGCAGAGAGAATGTGGAGTAGTTGCCTATAGCAACCAATCAGCTTCTCTCTTCAGTGTGTTCATTAAGCTTTGAAAATGAAAGATAGAAACTGATTGGTTGTCGTGTTTTGATAAATAAAGACGCATTAACATACAGGTGCTGAGGGACAGTCCACAAGCCGGAGTGGAGGAGAGTGCAGATTCCTAGGGAAGTGGGGATCAAAGTAAAAGTCCTTTACACAACTCCCCTAGACCAGCAGTGGACAGCTCCGACCCTCCATCTGTGCTTTGACTACAAATCCCAACATGCCTCTTTCTCTGGGAGTCATGCCTGAAACTATCAGTCTTGCAATGCTTCATGGGACTAGTAGTTCTGCAACAACTGGAGGACCCGAGTTGCCCACCCCTTCCCTAGACACTAAGGAGCAGTTAACCCTTGCAGTGCATGGGACACCCACACACAGCACCCAGACGCTGCAAGTGGGAAGGGGTGGGATACCTCTCTGCAGCTTTGGCCACACGAGCACCGTGGGAGGACAGGACACCGCACCTGAGAGGAAACCTGGGAAGCTGCTGCAGTGCAGGTAAGGAAAGACAGCCAGGAGAGAGAAGAGAAAAGAGAGAGACAGCAGAGAGAGAGAGAGAAGAGACAGCAGAGAGAAAGAGAGAGAGGATAAGAGACAGCAGAGAGAAAGAGAAGAGACAGCAGAGAGAAGAGACGGCGGAGAGAGAGAAGAGACAGCTGACAGAAGAGACGGCGGAGAGAGAGAAGAGACAGCTAACAGAAGAGACAGCAGAGAGAGAGAGAAGAGAGACAGCAGAGAGAGAGGAGAAGAGACAGCAGAGGGAGAGGAGAAGAGACAGCAGAGAGAGAGAGAAGAGAGACAGCAGAGAGAGAGGAGAAGAGACAGCAGAGAGAAGAGAGACAGCAGAGAGAGAGGAGAAGAGACAGCAGAGAGACAGCAGAGAGAGAGAAGAGAGACAGCAGAGAGAGAGGAGAAGAGACAGCAGAGAGAAGAGACGGCAGAGAGAGAAGAGACAGCAGACAGAAGAGACAGCAGAGAGAGAGAGAGAAGAGACAGCAGAGAGAGAGAAGAGACAGCAGAGAGACAGGAGAGAGAGAGGAGAAGAGACAGCAGAGAGAGAGGAGAAGAGACAGCAGAGAGAGAGAGAAGAGAGACAGCAGAGAGAGAGAAGAAGAGACAGCAGAGAGAAGAGATGGCGGAGAGAGAAGAGACAGCAGAGAGAGAGAAGAGAGACAGCAGAGAGAGAGGAGAAGAGACAGCAGAGAGAAGAGAGACAGCAGAGAGAGAGGAGAAGAGACAGCAGAGAGACAGCAGAGAGAGAGAAGAGAGACAGCAGAGAGAGAGGAGAAGAGACAGCAGAGAGAAGAGACGGCAGAGAGAGAAGAGACAGCAGACAGAAGAGACAGCAGAGAGAGAGAGAGAAGAGACAGCAGAGAGAGAGAAGAGACAGCAGAGAGACAGGAGAGAGAGAGGAGAAGAGACAGCAGAGAGAGAGGAGAAGAGACAGCAGAGAGAGAGAGAAGAGAGACAGCAGAGAGAGAGAAGAAGAGACAGCAGAGAGAAGAGATGGCGGAGAGAGAAGAGACAGCAGAGAGAGAGAAGAGAGACAGCAGAGAGAGAGAAGAAGAGACAGCAGAGAGAAGAGATGGCGGAGAGAGAAGAGACAGCAGAGAGAGAGAAGAGACAGGAGAGAGAGAGGAGAGACAGCAGAGAGAAAAGAGAGAGAGAAGAGACAGCCAAGAGAGAGGGCCGGTTCACACCACAAAGTCTACGTTCCAGTGTTCAGCCTCTGGAACGCAAGCCGGCCGGCTCCCTGCATTTTTGCATATTGCACTGGACCGAAACGCAGGCACTAATGTGGGCGAGGGGGCGTGGCTGAGGTGCCATTGACTTCAATGCACTACCACGCCCCCTCCTTCCCCTGAACATAGCGAGCCAGCCGGCTTGCGTTCCAGAGGCCGAACGCTCTGCAACGTAGACTTTGTGGTGTGACCCGACCCAGAGAGAGACAGCAGAGAGAGGAGAGAGAGAGATATAGGGTAGAGAGCGAGGAGAGAGAGCACAAGCAAGAGAGAGGCAGCAGTCCTAGATTTTAATGTGCTTGTTTTTTAAATAAAGGTGTTTTTTCGTTGGTAGATCTCATTGAGCTCGCCATTTGAAAAGTAGATCTCCAGATGAACAATTGTGGGCACCCCTGAGCTAGAGGTTCAATTAAAAATCATAATCATAGGCTTACACATTGCAGTGCAGCAAACAAGAGCCATTTAGCTTTTTTGATTACAAACATTAAACAATAAACAGATTCACGCAATATTCAACCATGATTTCTGCATTTTCCAACTGAATACAATTGGAAAATGTGTGAATGTTGGGTGAAAATTCGGTGTAAACCTTAATAAACATGATTGAATAACATAACCCTTCACCTTTAATACATTGTGCTACTTACGCAGATAAAAAGCATGCAGCCAGTGAAGGCAAAATGACAGTCCAGTGACTCCCGTTCTTAGGAGATGTAAATATTGGACATATAGCTTCATGCAGGTCATAGGACATCGCCTATCTGCGATCATGGACTCAACTCACCAAATGCATGGCAAGAGGTAACAGGAGCAGGAACACCCACAGGTACAGGTGACAGATGTTATTGAACTGGCTGTCCTCGGGGTCGTGGTACCATCCTCCTGTCAGAGCAGCCCACACACCTTGACCGAGGATCTGCACGATATGGGAGCCCATGTCTGCCACAGAGAGAGGAGAGGTCCGATAATTACCTCCTATAGACAGAGAGAGGAGAGGTCTGATCATCACCCCCTATAGACAGAGAGAGGAGAGGTCTGATCATCACACCCTATAGACAGAGAGAGGTCCGATCATCATCCCCTATAGACAAAGGAGAGGTCCGATCATCACCTCCTATAGACAGAGAGAGAGGAGAGGTCTGATCATCACACCCTATAGACAGAGAGAGGAGAGGTCCGATCATCACCTCCTATAGACATAGAGAGAGGAGAGGAGGGGTCCGATTATCACCCCCTATAGACAGAGAGAGAAGAGGTCTGATCATCACCCCCTATAGACAGAGAGAGGAGAGGTCTGATCATCAACCCCTATAGACAGAGGAGAGGTCCGATCATCATCCCCTATAGACAGGGAGAGGAGAGGAGGGGTCCGATTATCACCCCCTATAGACAGAGAGAGGAGAGGTCTGATCATCACCCCCTATAGACAGGGGGGGAGAGGTCCGATCATCACCTCCTATATGTAGGGCGAGCTGTGCCGGAGAGCTCCGCGATCATCTTCTTCTCCTGTACACAGAACTGCGCATCACAGTGGGATGAGCATTGACGTAACCGCTGTCTGTGCATATAGCAGAGGGCACACAGCCCGCTCTCAGGGACCCGCAGTACGGCTGTTAGGGGATCACAGGGACCCGCAGTGCGGCTATATAAAGGCATGCAGGTGTACTATTAAGAGTGGCCAGTGGGAGCCCTGATATAGCCGCACCGCGTGTCCCTGAGAGCTTTGACATAGCGTACTGTAGGCCCTTCGGAGGGATATAATATCTCTTCTGCGGGCCCCCGAGAGCCCCAGTCTACCTCTACTGTGGGTCCTTACGTATAGGCTGTGCCAGGGCTCTCAGGGGGCCGTAGTACGGATACCTCAGGGCACACACACTGATCTCTCAGGTGCTCGCAGTTATTCAGTGACTAGAACATGGCACACTCAGCCTGCTCTTGGTACGGATATGTCAGGGCACCCGTGGGTCCCCAGTATGGACATGTCAGGGATCCTAGGGCCCCACAGTGAATAGTGTACTGTATAGACTTTTATTCCCTATTACACGTAATCAGTAAAGGTTGCGGATTCCAATACAGGCGAAAGATCAGTAATCGATTACTCTTCCCTAGCCGTATACTGCGATCCACTCATGTTGACCTGCTTTGTAATCGGCGATTGACTGCTCTGCTCTGGAGTGGGGTGGGCTGCCTGTTGTGTCCTCAGTGTCAGTGTCTGGATATCACCATGCATCGCTCTTTCAGTTCCCTGCAGCTTCTCCGGCACATCACCGGCAACCGGAGGCCGCACTCAGCCGCCATTCGTCTTCAGCTTTCCTGGAAACAAAGCAGAATGGTAAGAACGGATCCTTGTGGTAGTGTCAGTCCATGCAGAGGTCACCTTCCTGAAGGCTTCTTCAGTCCTTGTTCAATGCTACAAGCAGCGTGTAATGTCAGTCATGTGCGGATCATTAGACCCCCTGAAGCTTCGTTTATTAGGCCTCAAAGGGAAACTGTCATGAGACTGTCTTGGAGCCTGCCATTGATCACTGTTCCTTATGAACATGCCTTGGAGACTAGTTGTCATGCTGAGGCATTGGCTTTAAAACTTTCCCATCACAGATCTGTAACAAGAATAGCAATCAGGAGTTCTGACACTCTTATAAGTGACCCAAAATGTATTGATGCCGGAGACAGTGGGGCAGTACAGTTCTGGGCTACACTCCGATACAGCCCTTTGGTGTAGCTGGATGGATGGTGCTCATAGGGACAGGAAGGGAAGGCAACGTGCAGTAGCACATTAGTAGAAGAGAAGTTACCAGCACTTGGTTGAAGATTAAAGTTGATCTATTAGTATCATATGTCAGGAACAGCCAACGTTTTAGGGCCTCGCAAGATCTCTTCCTTAAAGGGACATTAAAGTCTAATCTCTCCATGCTAGTGTAAGGACTTACCTCAAATTATGCCTTTTGATCCGATCATCTTCTTTCCAGTAGTTTTCAGAAGTCCCTCCAGCGCTGGTGCCAATCTCTGATCCAGTGCTGATTGCTGTGTCTGTGCCCCAGTGAGTCTGTGCGACGTGCACGCTCCCAGGCTGTGTGCATTGACTTATCCTGTGTCTCTCCTCTTCTCCCGGCCAAAGATCTGTACTGCGCATGCGTCTGCCCAATGATCCTTTGCGGCCGTCCGAGACTCTTCAGAACTTCGGAGGCGATTATGTGGCAGAGACACACGTACGTTTTAACTTTTTTGGTGACTTAAAAAAAAAATGTTTTTGCATGTATCTACTGCTTGCTAGCAATAGATACATGCAAAAAAAACAAACACAGAGGGTTAAGGCAGTGGTTCACAACCTGTGTAACCTCAGGACCCACTTTGTCCTTGGTCATTAAGTTGCGACCCAAGTCGCACTGCAATGGAACGCACGGCATTAGAGTACCGCGTGTTCCAGTGCGAGGGTATGAAATGTTGGTGGGAGGTGCGTTTGGGTTACCATTCAAATGAATGGCAATGCAACACACCTCCCACACCAGAACGCACAGTAGGTGCGATTACGTGGTACAATGCGTTAATTGCACGGCACTATTTAATTAACGCACTGTACTAGTGTGAACGGGCCCTCAAAAACACTGACAGACACACAACCGCAGACACAATCTCACACACGCATACACACTCCAAAATTTAAAAAAAAAATGTTAAGGTCCAACCAGTCTCCCTACCTTACGAGAACTGGAGTGGATCCTCACACTGAGGTCCAGTGTGGGCTGCTGTGCTGTGACAGAGGTCCATTCATATGTGCATTGCTTGTACAGCTCTTTTGCGCACCCTGTAGAGGTGCCGGGGGCCAGGATGTGATGTCACTCTGGTCCAGGCACCTCTATAGGACATGTGAGAGAGTTGTAAGCAATGCACATATGGATGGGGCTCCCTCGCGGCCACAGTCCCATCCTTAGCTGACACTTGGCGTCGGGCAGCATATTTCGAATGGCTGCTTGGCATAAGAACCGACAGTGCTGCGCTAGGGGGAGGCAGAGTCACGACCCAACAGTTGTGAACCAAGGCTTTAAAGGAGAACTATGGGGTTAGGGCTTTTCCCCATAGTTCTCCTTAGGGTAACGGGAGGACACAAACTAGCGTCCTCCCGTCACCCTAGGCTCAGTATACCGCGAGCTACAGCTCGGGGTATACTGAGGCGCCGCAGCTGTAGCTCGCGGTATACTGAGACGCCGCAGCTGCGTTTGGATCCGCCCAGCTGTGTGAGTGACAGCTGGCTCTGCCTATCTCGAGGCAGAGCCAGCTGTACCCGCCCCCTCCCCCATCCGTTCCGCCAGTCAGCGCTGGCAGATCGGAGCGGGGAGAGGGGAATCCAGCCCCTCCCCTGTCACGGCAGAGAGCTGTGACAGGATTAAGAGGTGAGCGAACGCCGGTATGTGTTCGCTCACCTCCCGATCTACTGAGCCGACCTGTGACAGTCTCATTGTCACAGGTCAGCTAGAACTATGAGGCTGAGTGCAAAGCACTCGCCTCATAGTTCTCCTTTAAGGTGACATAGAATGTGTGAATATACAGAACATAAATACTCTAATAAAACCCATAGCAATCAGGTGTACCCCTCCCCATGATGTCATAATCCTGCTGAAAACCTCAAAAATAGTGTGCAATAAAAACATCCTATGTGTAAATAAAGCTGAGGGCTGTACACAGAACTGACCAGAATCAGGGCTCTAAATGGTGGCAGGTCATAGAGTGAACCTGCACTGCAGCATGGCAGCAGCAGTAGTGTCCCATTTGCCTAGTGATCAGGGAGTATGGCGCTTGGCACAAATACCGCTGCCAGAACGGGTATCACCATTTCTTCTGAAATGCGTTGGGGTCTAGATGTCATACTGATTCATTAACCCCAATACTTTCAGATCACAGATCTGTAACTAGTTTAGCAATCTGGAATTCTGCCATGTTTCTGACACTCATTTACATAATATAAGTTACGGCTCCATGAACCCAAATGTATTGACGCAGGACATGATTGTTTGGAAAGAGGCCAGCAATGGCAGCCTTGGTGTTTTATTTATGACGGTCATTTTAAATATGTTTAAAGTGACACTAAACTCAGGTATTAAAGGAGAACTATGAGATGAGTGATTTCCACTCACCTCATAGTCCTAGCCGACCTGTGACAATGAGACTGTCACAGGTCGGCTTAGTAGATCAGGAGGTGAGCGAACACATACCAGGTTCGCTCACCTCTCGATCCTGTCACGGCTCTCTGCCGTGACAGGGGGGGGCTGGATTCCCCTCTCCCCGCTCCGAGCTGCCAGCGCTGACTGGCGGAACGGACTGGCGGAACGGAAGGGGGCGGGTACAGCTGGCTCTGCCTCTAGATAGGCAGAGCCAGCTGTCACTCACGCAGCTGGGCGGATCCTGTCATCTACATCGGGATCCGCTCCGGCTGCGGCGTCTCAGTATACCGCGAGCTGTAGCTCGTGGTATACTGAGCCTAGGGTGACGGGAGGACGCTAGTTTGTGCCCTCCCGTTACCCTAAGGAGAACTATGGAGAAAAACACTAACCCCATAGTTCTCCTTTTTTAAATGTTAAAAATACATTAAAGAACCTCCACTATTAATAAAGATGGAACTTATTTGTGTGTCACTCAGATGTAGATCCTCAAATCATCTCTGAATTGGCGCTGACACTGTCCTTCCTTCTGGAGGGTGACTACTTTTGTTCCCCATGGTCCCTGTGTATGTTGTAAAGTAGTCACTACTCCAAGCTCCCTCCCGTGATGGACTACAATCTCAGGTTTAGTTTAGTCATTTGTATTGAGATTGTCGTCCATCATGGGAGTGAGCTTGGATCTCTGGGTATATCTGTAAAAAGTAAGTCAAGGCAACTGCACTTGCTGTATTTTTCTGGAAGACATTTCACTGGACATCCAACCAGCTTTCTCAATTCAGAATGACTTGTACAAGAAAATTCTCTGG